ACCCCATCGGCTAAGGCTTAAAAAAAAATCATGTTTTAAAATAACATTACTGAAAGTTTCAACAACAGTATTGAGCGTACATATAAAATCGTATCTTATGTAATGTATCCTTTTACTCCATGGTAAATGACTGATAAATTGTCATCTAGGCCTATTGTCATCTTGTGTTTTAATAATTTCTTAATAAATATCTGTGCGCTTTCAGCCTGGTATCTGGTATGTACTTTTAGAAAATATTTGGTCAAAATATTCAAATACATTTTTCAAGATTTTTTACATACATTTTAGGTGCTGTTCACCTACTGTAAAATAAATTACATGTGTTTGGTGTTCAAGCTAAATTATGTATAGGCCTACTACACATATATTTTTTTAATGTTTATACATTCTCCTAAGTACTAAGCATATGATATTAGGTACGGTACCTTCACATGTCCTTTGGTCCTGCTTAAGTTGATAGCCATTGTTACATGAACAGTTGTAGGATCCATCCAGATCAATGCACGACCCGTATGCATCATCGCAGTTGTCAGTTCCTACAACGCATTCATTAATATCTAATATAATAAGAGAAAATATGTGGACGTGGTTACACTTCAAATACCTACTTTTTCATCAATTGGTTGAATAGTTACCATAAATATAATAATCATTATGAGAATGATAACAATAATAATAATAATTCAAATCTACTCACTTTGACAGTGCGTATTGTTCCCCTCAATTTGTTCATAACCCGGTTGACAAAGACAACTGATATCCATTCCATTCATGGAGCAAAATGCATTGACACATGGATCAAATATACACTCTGCGCCAGTTATCGCTGTATAAATAAAACAAATAAGTATTATTTTACTTAAAATATCATACTTTTGACTTTAATGTCTGAAGATATCGTTGCAATAATGCTTTATTTAACTGTAAAATTGTAATTGGCTTTAGGCATGCTCTAAAACTAAATACTTTATGAATATAGGCCTATAGATATACATTAAACAATGTATTTATTATTAATTTGTAATTTTTTGCAAATCTGGAAAATTTAAAATTTTTTTAAGACAAGCTTCACGAGGCCAATTATTTTGAGGAATCAAACGCTACATCAGTCCCTGGACCAAACGCTCCAATCGCATAAAAATGTCATTAGTTACCGGTACTTACGTTCACAAGACACAGTATCATTTGATAATTCATAATTTGTACCGCAATAACACATAAAACTTCCATCAGTGTTATTACACAGTTGATGGCAGTTGTCAATATCAAGTTCACATTCATCAATATCTGTAAATTGAGAACATTATTTTACAAGAAGTTGTTAACACTTAATATCATCATAATTATTATTAACTTTCTTTTTAAACAGATTCATTCTATTGCTATTATGTAATAAAGTATTACATTCTAATAAAGTGTTTTATAACGTACCTAGATGACTCTCACTTGATTGGTGGATTAAATATTACGTTCCACTTGTGCTATATTTTAATTCGTTTAAAGAAGATGGACTGGTATACTTGGAAGAAAGATAGACGTACCTAAATATTTTATACCAAATCGTCGTCCACATCTTAAGTTATCTTCCAAATTACGCTCATAATTATTCATTATCTGTATAATCTATTCCGTGATCAAATTTTCAACAGTGGAACTCAGAATGGACAAGAAATGACTACAAAACAGCAAACTGGGCACCTTCAAGTAAAACGAGGAGTGGATAATGCTTCTGGTTGGAAATTGATATGCCTAATCCATTTTGCAACGTCCCGCTTAAATATTTACATTTAATTTACCAAAATTATTTATTCCGACATACCTTGACACGCGCCATCTTTTTGTACGTATCCTTCGTAGCAGATACACATAAAACTTCCAACAGTATTTTCACAATTTGCGTTTGCATCACAGACATCCACATTCCCTTCACATTCATTAACATCTAATATCAGAAATAAAAGATGTAATTTAAATATGTAGATAGCTGTTGCTCATCTTTCTCAGAAATTTGTTACCGTATTTACATTAAAAATGTAAAAAAAATCCCATAGGCCTACCTAGACACATCCCGGCAGTCAGATTGTAGCCTTCTCTACACGGACACGTAAAACCGCCGTTATTGTTAAGGCACATAGCCCCATCAGAGCAGTTATGGCTACCAGTGCTACATTCGTCAATATCTGTGGAAATCAGCAAAATATAATTATCTCAATCTCAATGTAATTTTTGTGTTGGTTAATCTGTGAAATCTGTGTTAAAAATAAATCCTAATGCTCTTTCCACACTATCAAATTTTATGTGACAGGTGTGTGTGTGTGTTTGCCCATATATGGGCATGATGGTGTCAGATTACACCCATATATGGGCATGGTGGTGTCAGATTACACCCATATATGGGCATGATGGTGTCAGATTACACCCATATATTGGCATCACAGTTATTTGTCACATAATATTTGATGGTGTGGGCATATTCACTTACCTATGCATGTTGCTCCGTCTCCTGCGAATCCATCAGGGCAGCTACAAATGAAACTGCCAGGAGTGTTGGTACATGAAGACCGAGAATTGCAAGTACTGGTAACTTCACATTCATCTACATCTTTACAAGAAGTGCCATTTCCAGTCCATCCGGAGGAGCAAGTACACGTGAAGGATCCCTCTGTATTCAAGCAGTCAGCATTCAGATCACATGTGTCCAGTGAACGATTGCACTCGTCAACATCTATAAATAATCATGAAACTTTATTATCAAACAGATTACTATTGCAATTATACTATTTATGTATTATACCCTCATTTGTAATATACTTACATACATCAGATGTTAAAATATCTCAGTACATAACATTTGTAAAGTACGTCAAATTATGTTTTTATATCTGATGTTTTGAATTATTGATGTACTTTTTATTGTATTTATATTTGAATGTATTTTTATATGAAAGGTTTTTAATTTTATCGAGCATTAAATTTCATCATTTGGAGATAATAAAGTTATTCTGATTCTGATCTGATTCCGATTCTATCAGACATATATGAAGAGTAAAATGACGACGACAAAAATGACGACTATGATGTACATGACAGGAATAGCGACGGTAACAACGATGGCGGCAGCGGCGGCAGCGGCGGCGACGATGACGATGATAATAATACAGTATTAATATTAATAAGTGCTTTCCTACCTTGACATGCTTTCCCATCGCCTTCATAACCATTAATGCATTGGCAGATATAAGAACCATCAATATTGCTGCAGTCTGCATTATCATCACATGGGCTTTCAATGTATCCGCATTCATTTATATCTAAATTAAAAAGTAACCAAAATGGTTTAATGTGAATATGTGTTTAGTAATTATGCTCAAAATGTTTAAATATTTGTGTCAAAAATAAATTCTGAATTGGAGCAGGATATGAAATTAAGAAATGAACAAAATGATGTAGTTGGGGACAGATTGTAGCATTAGTAACGATACGTCACAGAAACGGACGGTTCTATTTTCTTTGCGGGATGTCTATTTAAGATAACATAATGATTATTTAGGTGATTGATTATACACGAAATAGACCTTAGTATCACATTTAGCTCTATGGCATAGAATTAAGAAAGAAATTCACCATTGCATGTTTGTCCATTTCCACTGTATCCGTTTTGGCATGTACAGTTGTAAGATCCTGGTATATTATCACATATACCATTGTCACTGCAATCGTCTGTCATCAATACACATTCATCAATGTCTGAAACAAACAAAACACAAACAAGTATCTGGTTAATAGGCAATTTTGCTTGATTTTATTTTCAATTAAACATTTAAGATGGCTGTACTTCGCCTAGATGTTCAAACAATAAAATGCCTAAAAAAATACATATACCCACAAAAAAAATAGGCATTTTCCAAACGATTTCCTCCTTTTGAAACAAGCCTTCGGGCTTAAATAGTTATCCTATGATTTCCGTTTTGTCTGAGGGTGGGTGGGTTTATGGTAGTTTTCTGTATTTGTAATGTTTTTTAGTGTGTTTAATTTTCTCAATTTTCTCATATATTTCTCTCTTCTTTGTAATGCGTTATTGGAAAGCAATAAATATTACTTACGTCATAAAAATATATCACTGCATTAAAGTGATGTTGAATTTGTTATGTAAGAAATTTAGAGAACGTTTCATTGAACTTACCATTACATTGAATGCCATCATCATCCAAATCATATCCATCTGTACAACTACATGTATAAGACTCCAATGTATTGGTACACATTTGTTCACAGGATGCTACCCCCTCAATACACTCATCAAAATCTAATGACACAATCATTATATTTTTATAATTTACTTCTGTTTGATTATCTGACTACAATCTCAAAAGTTAACAGACACTCCGATTACTATTATAAGATCTGACAGGCAATTTAGATATCTGACAACGATCTGAGACCGGATAGAGATGGGCAGTTTAAGTATCCTACATCGAAATCAATATTATCAAAGCGTTTATATAATGAATAAATTATCATTACAAGTTCATACATAAAAAAATTACCATAACATTTAAACCCTGATCCAACTAATCCATCAGGACAGTCGCCACAAGTCGCATTCGATGATGGTGCTACTTCGTCAGTACAGATCACACCAGGATAACACGGTTGATCTAGACATGCGTTGTAGTCTTCACTGCAATTGCTACCAGTCCATGCAGGTAAGCATTGGCATTCTGACACCTGCAAAGTACAATATAAGTATGTTGTATACTGTATTTTATAAATAACTATTTAATGAAGGACGGCCACCAGTAATAGTTGACTTGTTAGTGCTGAACAGAGAAAAAAAATGGATAGAGTTCATTTAGATTATGGATCCATTGAAAGCTAAGGATTAACTAATTAATTAATTGATTACAGCTTATAAATAGTAGGAATTCATTTATTCTAGATTTTACGACAAACACCTATTCTTTCCGGTAATAGGTCTATATACATTATTTGTGAATTACATCAACTTACGGCAAATTGGTTATTGAGAATATCAGATCCATCAACAAGAGTATCGAAGTCACATTCACCGCCATTGTGACATTCACAAAGAATAACCTCCAGTGGATAGGCTGATGCAGCTCCTTGGTTGTCCATAGCAATAAATGTAATCTTCACACCATCAGTGTTTGCTGGTGTCCATGAGAATACACCATCTGTTCAACATAATTTGCAGTAACATAAGTTTAACAAAATATTTCTACTTGCAAATAGTACAGTATCTGTGGCAAACCTATAAACAACTGATAATATAATGGGACTACACTTAGCATAGAAAACGCTTCAAACGATAGAATAGACCCTGCGACGCTTACTGTCAATGGCAGAATCCAATCACAAATTCATTTAGGCTCAATCACTAAATCAGCTCACCTCTTTATATATACAAATATGGTTCAATAATTTAATGTTCATATATGTGTAACATTACCTTCGTCAATCCCGGCACCTGGTACGCTGTCCTCAAGTCCAAATGTTATAGGATCATCTTCCGGATCAAAGACATCGATTTGAAGTGTATAGGATGTTCCGACAACAGCATGCAGCCGATTTGAATCAGTGAGTGAACCGGCCGGAGTAATCGCAAATACACTAGTTATGTTTGGTGGAAAATTTGCTGTCAAGGAAAACAAATTAATTAACAGGTTGTTAATACAAGGCACAGTATACATAGAACCTAAATATATAATAATTGTGTAAACAGGTTGGTAAAAGTAAATGCTATAAGTATTTACTTTATATTATTATTTATTATTTAATTCATATTATTTAATTCATATTATTCTTTATTATTATTACCATATTTATTATCATAATTAATTGCACTATATTTTACATCACCATAATGATTATATAGCTTACAAGATTAAGATTCCAGATATTTTCATACAATTATCAATGTATTATTTCTGCCATTAATAATGCTACCATTATTGTCATCACTATTTATTATTATTATTATCATTATCATCACCATTAGTCGCTATTGCTGTTAATAGGCCTACCTAGTTCCTGTGCGTTTTCGTTGTTGTTTTCATTAGTTGCCTTCGAACTGACACCAAACGACACATCATTCGTTGCCAATGCGTCAAACAAACACATGCTGTCATCCCCACATGCGTCAACTGCGTCTTGATATAGTGCCGTATTTGCGTACTTTTCCACTAGATCTTCCAGGAATAACGGCCTAAATGTTAAGTTATTAAATGTTTCCCATGATGAATCATCACCATACACGAATAGAGTGGATTGGTTTGTTGTTCGCCCTGGAAAAACAAGGTGTGATTAGCAAACTCAGAAATGATTGTGTATGGTCTTTAATGAAATACAATGTTTACAATACAATTCAATACATTCTAAAAAAATACAAGTTGCATCTTACATGTAATACCAAAATCGAATGCTGAACTTTCCGACAAGGACTGGTTACTCGGTATTGGCATTATTGTGTTGTTTGGGTATGTCAGATCATCGCTTATATCGTCATTCCAAACGCCTAAAATAAAAGAAAACATGTTCATTGTTTGAAATTTAAGAAGAAGAACCTGAGTGTGAACAAATGCTCCAACTATACATTCTGATGTAGGGCTTAATCAAATTTGTATTCCCAAGGATGCCTACTTGGTTAAGGCATCTGCATAACTCATAAATATATATTAATGTAAATATTCATAAGCTAATGCACCCCCCCCCCCCACCAGCATAATATTTGTGCACTTGTGAAAATTCTATAATTTGGGAGCGACCCTTTACAAATACAGACCGTATACTGCATTGTATATCTGTTTAGGAGTCTGCCTGTATAAAAATTACTCCATACCTTTAATTTTCGATGGTATAATTTTTTAATGTGTAGCCTTATTTTGTATGTAAAGTTTTTTCCGTGTTTATATACATATTTTATCAATGATTGTGTTGAAGTGTGCTCCTTCTTTAGTTAATTTTTATATTTTTGTAATAAGCTGAACGCACCACTCTTGTGTGTGCCGCCGTTCAAAAGACGTATGTTCTCAAAGTAAATAAATAAATATGAATGAAATTCATTAAACATATCATTTATTTTGTGAATGAATTTTGAAATATATTCTATTTTACTTTATCAGGCATTAACTTTAGACTGTTTAGGCCTATTCTTGAGGCTTCTTCTAAGATATCAGTAAATGTTTTCTTTTGTAGCATATTATAGATAGATACAAACCATATAATCCTTTAGTTTTCCCTTTAAATATCTCAGGAGCCGAAAATACAACATCTAATACAGGTCCTGTTAAGCCAACCGATATAGATATTCCTGAAATCCATGAAGCAATTATGCGATTTCCAGTCGTATTTCCAGTGGGCAAACTTATGATAAAGCCAGGATCAGATGGTGGAACAAACGGACCTGTTAAATAAAAACATTTTCATTATAATCGTCGCAGTTATATTATTTTCATTCATACATTGCCTAAAAATTAAAAAATATACTTTAATAAAATGATGTTATGATAGATTAACCGCAAGTACCCGGTATAAAATCACATTGTGTCCTTAGTTATTTAAACCGCAATTAAATATGGTACGGGTTTAACTAATATATATGGTTCCTATTTACATGTAAAAAACTACATTTTATGAAACGATAACAGTATGGCTTACCTTCGGCAAGACTTGATTTATTGATATAATAGCTTCCATTAACCAATATATCAAAGTCTGTTGAATTAGCATTGAGAGTCATTTGTACCTACAAGTATTTGAATCAGAAAGTATCATTAAAGCTTGAAAGCCAACTGGACCGTTCTGGTAAGCCTCAAAGCAAAGGAACCCCCAAAACGACATTAGGGAGTTTTCGCAAGATTACGAAAACGATAACGAATACTGTTACGTCATCAAATTTTTAAACAATCCTTCGCCTTAGAGTAGTAGGCTATATATGTCACAGCGTAGGCGATTCATGCCTTTTGCAAGAATCAAGGATTATATCCAGCTCGTACTATATATTGTCAAGAATGTTTGAGGCTCGAATGACGATAATGATAATGACGTATTCGTATTCGTTATCGTTATCGTAAATTTTCAAAATCTCCCTATTGAGTTTTGAGTTTGACTAAGATCCTTTAAATTTCGTTTAATGGGGAACTTGATTGTTTCTTTGTTAGAATATGTTAAACACAAGACTGTTGCTACTACATTGTATTTGCTACAACTTAAGAAAGGAAAGAAAGTTCGTATTTAATGAGATGAGACCTTTATATATTTTGTTTGAAATTCAGCAGTCATGTGAAAAGAGTAAATCTGACAGTGTGTTCCAACTAGAAGTAGTCTACAATGGTATATGCCTACTGTAGATTAAGCCGGGCACGCACTGCTCCCGACGTTCGTGGGCTGACGTAATTCTATAAAGAACGCAACACCACGATGCGCACGCAACGGATCGTTTTTAATGACACAGAGAGTGACGGTGCTGGCGTCATAGTAAGACACAGTGAGTTCCCGGCTTTGCACAACCTTGAATCTATAGATCTACCTTTGTGGCATCTCCTTCTTGAGCTGCAAATGCTGTAAACGCGGTTGCCTGAACCGATTCGTCGTCTGTTTTAGGAATTTCCATCCTACCTTGAAGCACAAACGGTACGTCATCTACCGCCACCAGAATAAACTCACCAAGCCCGTTAAAAGTGTACTCAAATCCATCAAGAGTTCGCAAGTGAGGGTCACCAAACATCCAACCTGAAATGTTTCATATTAGGGTATGTTATGTGATGCTGCATTCAGTTATTTTTTTATTTCGAGGTTTTATAGATAACAAAAGCTTTCTGTAGAAAGTCAGAACAACGAATGAAACTGCTTTGACGACAGAAAAGCAATTATGAGTTTATATCAAGAAAAGACTCCTTCACCATCACCATTATAATCATCGTTATTATCATTATTTTATTAGTCATTACCATCATCACTAACATCCTCATAATCACAATCACAATCATCATCATCACCATCATCGTCATCACTATGATAATAATCATTAACATTATCAATGTTATCATCCGCTTCTTCATTTTCATCCTCATAATTATCATTATCATCATCTTTACTATTACTAGGTATTTAAAAAGGATACCAAGGGTTGTATACATACCAGTATGTGGAGGAAGATAGCCACTACATGTGCCCTTTGGTCTCACTTGCGCATAAAGGTCACAGTAATAAGGATCGTTTGACCTCTCACAGCAAAAATATCGTGGGATTAGATCGTCATCTTTTTAAAAAAGAATATAAGTAATAAGTACAACATCAAAAATGATAAACACAATAATAATAATAATATTAATAAAAACAATAATAATGATGATAATAATAATAATAATAATAATAATAATAATAATAATAATCTGTATAACAACATAATAATAATATAACGTAATATTATAAGTTAATTTTAACAGGAATATAAATGTTCTGCTCATAGTTTAATTAAATTAATACTTAACAATGCATACATGGAATATTTAAACAAACTTACAGAACCAAGAAACAAACGCCCAGAAACTGAAATACCGTCCTTCAACAAACTGGTGTCTTTCTACAAAGCTGCTAGCAAATACATCACTTTCATAACCCTCAATGAGTGACCCGTCCCCTCTGTAACAACACCTCATCCCGGCCCCTGAAGCGGAGGAGACTTGAGTTTGAAGGCAAAATGGAGATCCTGTTACGTAATAAATAAACAAAATAACGGTTGTGTTATTAATATGACTGAGACTTACCTGAATAAAACCAGTTTAAAACCGGTTTTCCACTAGGCGAATTTATTCGCGCGAATCAGAGCCTCGAATTCGCTTCCTGAGCTCTGATTTGTTGTACATTTTTTCGCTTTGCAAACACGATAGAAATGTGAATGGGCATGCACATGAACCGACTCTTTCAATTCGCACGAACAAATTCGCCTAGTGGAAAACCAGCTTTATGCCTTTTTTTCCCTCATTCCAGAAAAAAAAAATATAAAGCTCTGTTCACACTATCAAAGTTTATGTTACAAAACAGGTAAGTTCACAAATTAGACATCTCATTTTATTTTGGATCCTCTGAAAATTGTTTTGCCATAGCTTATCCAGGCAAGTGTTAACAAATTAATAATACTGACACAATTTCAATTAAAGGCAAGATACAATAAACATAACATTAACAGCAGAACTAACATAAAAATTCACACAATTACTAATTCATGCATCCCTAACGAATGTATAAATAATATTATGCAAATATACCATCCAGGTCGTCAATTGCATTAAGAAGATTGGATGAGAGGGGTCGTCCTCCACCACCATTGGCATCCATACTTCTTCCCCGACGCCCACGTCTTCCATTTCCAAATCCAAGATCATTTGAACCTTGACGTAAAGAACAAGGGCAAGTTCCAAGTCTATCTAACCATAACAACCTGTCATCTTCGTCTAGCCTCCAGTCCATGCAATATTGTCGATAGTTAAATGTCATTTCATTGTGATTTTCAAGTCTGAAGAACCACTGGCCCTCTAAGCCTGTGTTGCCGGTTGAATCTGGAAAATATCTTGACTTCTCAGTCGGGAAGTACTGATTGCTTAAGTGGGCATTGTCGAGCTCTCCGTTTACACCTACTCCATAACCTATCACCAGATTCTTCTGAGATAAAATGTCTGGATTCCATTTCATGCCACCAATTTCATAATTAAAAATTACAAAACTGTAGATACCGTCCGTGATGAGAGCAGCCTGAAATGTAGCTGTCTGAAATAAATAAAATATATTTTCACGAAAGGAAAGAGAAGCATTATTCTGCGAATGTCTTTGGACAGCCTGCATATATCCTAATTAAAATTCTGTCAACATCCCATCTTTTCCATTTGTATTTTTTTTTAACCAAACCAATTACTGCGTATTGTTAAATGAATTTGAACTGTACTGTACCTTGTCCATATTATTTTCAACAGGATATTGTGGAACTCGATCCCATGTGACCAACAACATCCAATTTGCTTCAAATTGGTAGTTATTTGGAAGTGCATTATTTCCTAAAAATGTCCTTGTACGATTTGATGCTTCAGACAACATTTCAAGATGATCAGTTGTTCTCCTAACTCGAGTACGATCTGTGCTCTCGTAAACCTGTGAAAGACATGCCATAATTGAATAACACAAAATGAATATGAAACTAATACTCCGATACTGCTGCTAGGGTAACCCTAAAAACATCAAAGTACCAGTACCAAAAACCACTACCACTAACAATAAACATCAAAGTACCTGTACCAAAAACCACTACCACTAACAATAACAGCGAGACACAGATGAGCAACATCATAGAATGGAAAGCATGTGTTTATATACCTTGTAGTATACATCGCCAACTCTATCATCAGAAAGGTCTGTATCAGCCCAGAATGGTGCGATAATTTTATGTTCATAACCATCATAAAAGCCTCCGGTGGGTGGGTTAGAAAATCCATACTTAACTTCATTTTCTTTAGAAATAACAATTACTCCATTCTCAGTAAACTGTATTTTGAGAAAAGCAAGGAAGACAAGATGTGTATATATATATATATATTCACAAAACAACAATTAAATGGGCCTATTTTATTTCTAAACTATAATTAACTATTATTAATCTTCTATATAATTGTAGGCTTATGTATGATTTAAAGTTAATTCAACATAAATGTCATATAAGATGACTAAGCCCTGTCCAGACTATCAAATTTTATTTGAAAAAAAACATGTGACATGCCTAAATATGGGCATGATGACATCACATCATGACCATATATAGCCACATCATGATTAATATGGGCATAGAACAGTTTTTTTGTCAAATAAATTTGACAGAGCTTAGAATAGTAAATTGTTTAAAGAGGTAAAATAACTTCAGATATTGTACCAAGTTAAAAATACAATCAATCACAAATATAGTATACTAACATATAAGCTATAATAAAATTCGTCAAAGAAAGGAAACCCGTTAGCTGGTTTTATTGTTGGAGAGATCTTCTCTGTAAACTGATTTGTTGCCACATCTCTTAAGTTGTAGTCGCCATATTCACTTCCCCAACGAAAGAAGAAATCGGCTTGAAGAAACAAGAATGATATCACATCCAAAAAATTAATAGGTGTACACGTTGACAAAATTTGTGCTAACAAATAGATAATAACATTTTACAGAGTTTTTGTATACACATGATAATAATATTCACGTGATTTTTCATTTTAATTGCTACGGATATAATCAGGCAAGCTCATTAGGGATAGACCATTCTGCTAAGGCCCTGCTCCTTGTGTTGCTATAAGTTCCCAAAAAACGACAGTGTAAAAACATAAGCGAAAAGTTCCCAAAAAACGACAGTGTAAAAACATAAGCGAACACGTGAGTTTGTGAGACCAGGGGCGGCGCTAGCGGGGGTCCAGGGGGAAAACGAACTCCAGTTGTGGACACGTTACTATTACTGGCCCTTTTCTGATTGGTCATTTGTTAAGTTTGATTGACACTCCGGAATGTTACGATCATGAACCATTTCACATTTACTTATCTGATTCTTAAAAAATGAAAACAAGATTTTCCTTCAGCTCTGAATACGATAACATCGATACCACTTTTAATAGAAGCGAACATTATAACGACATTAGGACACGCAATCATACCCAGCTGTATATACATGTAGAGTATGTTTGCATCATACCTTGGCAAGTGAATCCATCTCCAAAAAATCCATCAGTGCAGGCGCAGGTGAAACTTCCATCAGTGTTGATGCAAATTGATCCATCATCTGCGCATGGTTCCATCAAGCACTCATTTATATCTTAAAAAAGACATATTATTATTATTATTATTATTATTATTATTATTATTATTATATTATTGTTGTTGTTGTTGTTATTACTATTATTATTATTATTATTATTTTATTTAACCATTTTTGAGTTAGAAATTGGTAATCAGTGGAATACCATTTTCTAAGTTGTTAAATGGTTTTATATTCCGCCAATTTTATAGTATAGTTTTCAATATCAATTCTATATTTCAACATCATATTATGTATCAGGCATTAAGCAAAATCGAATCTTAAATATAGAATAGTTACCATCGCAAACGGTTGCATCTGAAGTGTTAAGTTGGTAGCCACTTGGACATATACAATTAAATCCACCTACAGTATTTTGGCACTCAGCACGTAAGTCACAATTGGCAATCCCTCTTGTACATTCATCAATGTCTTACATTTCGAGTAAAATAAAAAAAATAATTTGATGAAATCATATACAGTACACAAAAAAGCGTTTCTATAATTAGACGGTCTTAAATGTAATGCTAGATAATAATTATGTAGCATGTATTTGTTTTAAATCAAATTAAACTTTCAATATCACACAAAAAATTAATTTGAAAATAAATATCAAAATGATGTTTTCTAAAAAAATACCACAAAGTTAATCTGCCCTGGACGACTATGGCTATGCTGATACTTTCTCACTAGGCGAATTTATTCGCGCCAATCGAAAGCGTCTGTTCATACGCATGCGCATTCACATTCCTATCGGAGTTTTTGCGAAGCGAAAAAAATGTGCAACCAATCAAAGCTCAGGAAGCGAACCGACGCTTTGATTCGCACGAATAAATTCGCCAAGTGGAAAACCAAAGCGTAAGCATGTTTTCCACTAGGCGAATTTACTCGAGCGAATCGAAGGCGTCGGTTCGGTTCCTGAGCTCTGGTTGGCTGCACATTTTTTTCGTTTCGCAAAAAGTAGAAACTGTTCGAACTACCAATTTGGCTGAAGCGAAAATTCCAATAGAAATATAAATGTGCATGCGCATGAACGACGCTTTCGATTCTCACAAATAAATTCGCCAAGTGGAAAACCTACTGTATTCCAGGCGTAACTCACGCCAGATCAGCTTGAGACACACAGTGGCGGGACAACATCAACGAGTCCACACTTCGTAATTTGCTCTCAATAAATCTCACGTGACCCCAAGTGTGAACCTGCCTATAGTTCATAAACAATTTAACGTAAATTCTGTGCTAGTCTAGTTATACCTTCACAGCTTCGAGGAATATTCCCGATGTACAAGCCATCAACACAAGTTGCATTAGTGGCCGATCTTGGCGTCAGTTCAAAACCATCTCTTGCACAAGAAAATACTACATGAGTAGCATGCAGAAATGATCCACTGACATCAATCCCTTCTATATCAATCATCTCACAGTCGGCTAAATGAATAATAATAATAATAATAATAATAATAATAATAATAATAATAATAATAATAATAATAATATTATTAATAGGCCTAATAATAATAATAGGCCTAATAATAATATTAATAATAATAATAATAATAATAATTAGTAGTAGTAGTAGTAGCAGCATAGTAGTAGTAGTAGCAGCAGCAGCAGCAGTAGTAGTAGTAAGTAGTAGTAGTGTAGTAGTGGCAACAGCAGCAGTAGCAGTACGAGTACTGTTTCGTCTGCCCTCCCACCGCATGTTGACGTCTCATACCTTTTAAACTCCCCACCCCTTCAGTCCCGCATTTTAATAATATACATACTTCACCAGTAGCCTCAATTCATCCAACCAGTTAAATATTCATCAAATCGATCTATGATTGCAGTTTAATAATCTTTTATTTTTTCAAATGAAGTCAATCTAAATCGAACACGGCTCATGATGAATCATATGATTTATTTTTAATAGAAAACTCACCGTAACAATTAGGAAAATTTATGTTTCCTTTAGAGCATTCGTCAGTGGCGTGACCAACCAATGAATATCCTTCTTCACAACTAAATGTTGCATTATCCCCCGGTTCAAAATTGCACTCTTCACCATTTACTATAACATGCTCAGGTATAGCTAATGAATCTATTGTGCATAATTCTGGGATGATAAGAGATATAAACTCATTAAGCAAGAAAAAGGTAATACAAAAATGGCAAAAATAAATTTTAAAATCCAGTTGAATTTTGTTCAATATTCATA